TTGAAGCTAAAAGAATCGCATGTTTCAATAAAATTACTGCCTACATTTCCGTCATGAAATTCGCCAGCTTAACATGACGTTATACTGGTAACAATAGAAGTAATCGTAAGATTGAGTTTTTTTGTATTTTGATCACATTGGGTGCAATCGTGAACTAATGTTAACCTCAGATATTTTGTTCTGCCATTTTTTTTTTATTTTTAAGTTGATAGAAATGTAACATATCGGAATTTTCTTCTAATATGTACACCAATTTTATTATTTATCCTGCTGTACATCGGTTGTCTATATCTACGGTTGTTTATATCAATAGCACAAATATCTACAGAATTTGGATTTAGCACACCGTAAAGGACAATGCATCTAGTTTTTTTACATGATTATCGCGTAAATAAGGATGTGTTTGAACATCCGGAATTTCTGTATAAACAACTTTATCAATGTCAAGTGGTTCAACGATTTTATCATTTTGTTTTAAAGTGATCAAAACGTGACCATCAGTCCTCAGCAGCAGGAACAGCAGTCCTCTTGTTTGAAAATCGATTGTATAAATTATTGCTATTACTTTGAATAAAAATATTTTAATACCATTGCTTGAATTATTTAATTAATTTAGCATTAAATTTTTATGCACAACAATTTCATAACGAAAAGTGGCTAACTTGGTCAATCAATAATAAAATAAAATAACAAATAATATGCTTAATTATTCCTAGTCATTGTGAATCGGAATGCAAGGTAACGAATAACTTACGTTTTCCTAAGGTTTTAACGATGGATATTATATCTAAATAGTGTTTATAGATATTCTTTAGAAATAGATTAAATGGAGGTTGCAAAATAATCTTTCGACCAATGTTGTAGTAGACATCCCCCGGTATTTACTCCATCATGTGACATTGGGTGAGGAAATGAGAAGGAATACATAATATATAGGAATATGTGATTGCACTGTGAATTGTACTCAATTTTACAGTGGACACACTGTTCATTGAAAAGTCTCATATCGATAAACAATCGATGAAGAAGGAAAAAGGTCCGGTCAGGTAGCAGCAGCTGGAGAATGATGCAGGGAGAGAGGAAGGCACTTGAGGCTGAGGCACGGAGGCGAGAGGACTTGAGGATAGGACATTGAGGCGGAACGACTTCATCTGGGAAGAGAGGCTTACTACATTGAAGACTAAGAATATCAATCCGACAGTTATACGACTTTAATAGATTCACTTATTAAAGTTGTAAAATAAATAGACAGGAGTGAAAAGTCATTTATTTATTTAGTTGTCTTATATGCCTCACAATTGAAAAATAACAAACCAGGTGAGTCAATTCATTCAAAGTGTATTCACCAAGTCCCACATTTCATATATATATTCTTATTGTTTCTTCTCACTCATTGTCACAAAGGTATTAGATTCCCGAATTCCCAACGACAGTTAAACACCCTCAAAAAGTCTATATTCAGTGCCGGGGTTTTATTTTAATAATCACAAGTGTAAATAACCTAGTTTCCCGATTAAAGGAAGAATATTCACAATTCCCGCCAAAACTAATTATTTACAATTAGCTTTTAGCATAGTTATTTACAACGTTTTTATCACTATTGCCATTTGATGCAACTGTGAGAAATCATTTATTGTGTCATAGCTGAGTTTTTTAGTTATGTTATAAAGTTATTATAAAACTCGGATGTAAAAAAAAAAAAAAAAATCAATATTGACATACAACATTTTACACTAGCATTAGCGATATGTATATTACCTATCAACTGCAAAAACAATTTTTGCGAGTGATGTGAAACCTATTGCAATCTCCAATCGCAAGTTTGGTCTGTAAGACCAATTTTCTCCAGTTCTCCAGCTGTTCAGACTGCAATCGGTCCTCGAGATATTTCCTGAAATTTATTATAAATTAACATAAAGTAAGACTGAATAGGGTTAATTATAAAATATAATGTAACTACCTAGTCCTGTCGTAAATATTGTTACAATGAAATATATACAGATTTCAACAGAAAAATTATTTTTTTAAAACAAATTTATGAGAAAATAAAATGTATATCTATAGATAGTTAAAGAAATTACTCAAAATGTCCCCCATTTCTCTCGCCACAGGCAATTAATCTCCGTGGCCTGTCATCAATAGGAGCACGCAGCACTTCATGAGGAAAGCGCTCATCTGCTCGGACCACAGATTGTTTGAGGCTTTCCAAGTTAGGGTGTGCTCTGTGGCAAGCCATCTTCTCCTGCAATCCTGTTGGAAAACCCAATGATTTCCAGCAAACAGAGTATCATTTAGAGGCTAGACAACAGGTACCAAAATATCGTCCTGATAGTTGTTATCGGCTGTTTTAACTCCTTTTTCACAAAAATGGAGCTTTGTTGTGCCATCAAAGCAAGCTCTCCGAACCATCACTGAGGAAGGGTGTTGACCTGTTCCCAGTCTTCCAATGACTTCGTGGGGTTTTTTAGAGCTGAGTGCGAACACACGCTCATTTTACCGATTAAATTTTTCTTCGCTTGTAAAAATTTTCTCATTGGTGTAAGGACAAGGAGCACTTTGCATCTATTCACTATTTTTTTTAGGGAAGTGGTAGCTTTGTCCTGTTATTCATCGAAATGCACCCATCCTAAGGTCACTTTTTATTATACGAGACATTGATCTGACAGAGATTCTCATTTCCCGAGACATGATTTGTTGTTTTCGAATAGGATTTGTTCTGATTCGATCAGCCACTGCTCTCACTGCATTTCCCGTTCTCACAGTCCGGGGACGGTCCGGTCGAGGTCTTTCACATACAGATAGGGTCTATCAAATCTATTTGTAGTACGGTATACGAACATATGGCTGATACCCAAAGGTTTGAAAATCTGACCTACATTTTCCAACTTTGTGTAAGCCGAGCATATCGATTCGATTTTCTTTATCACCCCACTCCATGTTAACTGAGCGAAAGAAAATTACAAAGTAATTGGGATTATTATCCTGACATGTAAAGAAAATAACCTGTTAGAAGTAAGGATTATCTAAATAATACCCAAGAAAGTAGACAAAGTTCAATTTTGTAACAGTATTTATGGTAGAACTAGGTATATTGGTAAATTTTATATATTTTTTTAACTTTATACCAAAAGGAAAAAACAAATATCGAATTATCTTGTAACATTAGCCGGATCATATATTAGTTTAAGAAAAACGTATGAAATGAATTAAAAGATTGAAAAATATTTGGTAATAGTTGATAGTAGTTTTATATTGATTATTGTCAATTTTGAAATGGTATGATTTTCATTTTATATTGATGATTTAGTTTTCCTACCTAATAATGTAACAATAAAGTAATAACACTGATCCATTGGAACAAGAATGATTCAACTGTAAAATTTTGGACATTTTTTTATCATTTGAAATTTTCATAAAGACATGTTTTACAAATACGAAGTAATAAGTATATTACGAAAAAAAATTGAATGAATTGAAGAATTTTACACCCAAAATTATGTTTTTAGATTAATAATTAATAATTATTTTGCCTCTCTTATAAAATTGTATAACTTAAATTATATTACTGTTCCACCGGACTTACAATATGGAAGTAATTAAAGATACAGCTTTTTGTAAAATATATATTTCATTAAAATGAAAAATATTAACACATTGATTTTTCCATTGTTAATGTCATATGAAACCACAAGGATAGAAAAAAGATATTCCAAACAGCCCAGAATAGTTCAACGCAGTAAATTCTTCTTCACTGTTAAATTTCAAGAGTAGACCATTACAGATTTACAGATGAAAAATGGTTTATTTTTCTCTATTCTCAACATTTTTTTTTGAGAGAGAGTGAGAAAGGTTGAAAAAATATCTAATATTTTGACAAAATATTACCCAACTGTGCCGAGTAAAATAGAAAATCAAAATCTATATTCACGAATAAAGACGTGAAATGTTTGTAATTTATAGTTATAAAATAGGACAAACTATGTTCCAGCGTATACTATTTTAATGGAATAAAGGTTTGATGAAAAGCCTTTTATCTACTTCCATATATTACTTTCAATTCCATATATTAGTTTTTTTTACTAATCATAAATAATTATCAGTAACCAACTCTTACTCTAGCAAGTAATTCAAATAAAAATATTTTTGGAATATTTTTAAATGGAATAAAAACAGATTCAACTGGCTTTTCTTCATTTTCATGTTTTATTTATTTATAAGAAAAGAAAAAATAATTTTGAATTTTGAATTTAAGCTTTAAATGACTAATTCTTACTTTAAACTACAGAGTTTTCACTTCTGCGCTTTTGTGTGGGATGGAACCGATAAAAAACGTAAATTGATAAACCAAATTTTTTTAACCATGAAAAACAATGATAAGAATGAGGAGTGGTAAATTTCCAAATTTACTTAGAAATCTCTCTATATAAACAAAGAGATTTAAAAACTTCAACTATTACATTAAAAAATAAAATAAAATATACATAATACAATATAATTGCAGCTAAGCAATATTTTTTTCGTTTTTTTTGTTTATTATATAACAAAAACAAAATGTTAAAATTACACAAAATCGACATCCTAATTACAATTAACCAACAACTTTAGGATTTTGCCAAAGTCATTTCATTATGTAAATTTTCTGTAATAAACATTTGATCTAGCTTGTAATTCAAAGAAAAATGCAATAATTGCAATTGTCTAGTACTTTTACTTTTAATTGTTTAGTACTTTTACCATACTTTTAGATAGAATGAAAGCACATATAATTAACATAAAAATAAAATAGCTTAAACAAAAGTTTAAAAATTTAGAGAAAAAAAATATCGATGTTGGGTGATAATATTTGTAAGTGTTACGAAATGATTAAAAAACTTGAATTTGGAAATAAATTATTTATTTAACCTATCTGGTGCATGAACAACGATGTTATTTGAGCAACGAATTATTAACTGTATCTTGTGTAAATTTATTAAATTAATAATTTCATATTTTTTTTTCAGATAAACATGAAGACACGAAAAAATCAAATAAAGATGGTCCCTCCCGATGGAGGGTGGGGATGGCTTATCGTTTTAGGATCAAGTTTAATAAATGTGAGTAGCATTCTGAAGACTATTTATTATCGTTATCATCACTTGATGGATGGCTATATTTATTATTGTCCATATATTTTCAAGCACTAAAAAGACAAATACTTTAAAAAGAAAAACAAATATAAGAAAATAAATTGCTCCGAAAAGCTAACATCTTGACATATATTTCTTAAGAATCAGTAACTCGGGGATTATGATTTCTGATTTCATTATTATTGTTTGACTATTATTAAGTATTTATATGTTGGTTAGCTGTTTATAGAAAATAGTTTTGTTTTTATTTTATTTTATTTTTTATTTAGTTTTCAACAAGAGCCATTGAACCATCATTTGGGCTGCTTTTCGGAGATCTCCTCAAACAGCTTGGGGTCGAGACAACGGGGGCATCTTTGGTCATATCTACACTGGGTGGAATCGTCAACTTTTCAGGTACGTAATCTTAATATTACGCATGGAGCAGCGATGTAGTTCCTTTCATTTCCATGTGAGAAAAGAAGCAAAAAATCTGAAAAAGAAAAAAGATATGTAATTGTTATCTTACCAGCTCGTCACGCATTGTCCGTTGGAGGAACCTGTCGACGATCGGCGATAGACCGGGATCCTATTCTCTCTTTTTATTTTTTTTTTTGTAACTCTATTTATTTGCTGGATGTTGGAGAGATTAGGTTCTTCTATTTGGTTTAATCTTGAGTGTACGATATGTACTCTCAGTTTTTAATTTCATTTTTCAGTGCCCATAGAAATCTAAGAATATATTATAAATATAAGATCTAAACATATAATGAGCGTGTTCAAAATTAATTTTGTTTAATAAATATGTCATGGAAACCATGAATTATGATTAAATTATAATTAGCGCACTAATAATGGACATAGCTTTTTGGCTTATGATGCCTTAATTATTATAGTTATAAACTTCTCCGTTGAACATATAAAATCTCCACAGTGTCCTTTTTCTATTAAACAGTTTAAAATTTAAAAAATATTCAGTTATGCAGATAACCTAAAAAAACAACAATTTTTTGCACAGTGATGGACACCCCAAAATTCAAGTGTTCTAGTAATGGGCAGGGGGTTGGTACTAGTAACAGATATGCCGCAGAAAAATTCTGAAATATTTTTATAACTATAAAGATAACATAACATAAATGTTTAACTTACTATTAGCAAAACTGTTAGTAGGAAGGTATGAAACACACTGATCTCAAGAGTACCATAGAAAAAGTCTGTGAAAAATGTGTCCACTCACACGACGTTCCTACCTATTTCAGAAAAGTTTTTATATCTTTACATCTGTTCATCAAGAAACAAAAAAAAAATTGAATTAGATTTATTCTCCTGAAATAAGATAAGAAAAAAAAGGTTTCAATACGATTTATTTGATAAACTAAAGCAAAGTAAACAGGTTTAAGTTAGATCAGTGTAAACATTTCAATACCCTCTAATATTGCTGGTAAAAAACTTTTTGCCATAGCTTAATTTTGTCAAACAATAATTTCTTTTAAAAGTAGAGGGGATAGTAAAGCCTGTGCGATGCGGACAGCAGATTTTCATACTTTCACTTAGTCATCTTTTTTCTCTCATTCATCCCTTTCTGGCACCAGGATATGAACCCCTAATCTTACATTGGAAATTGAATATCTGTAACTTCGTTAATAGTTGTCCAAAATGAATGACTTGTATATAGTTTTGTGGGGAATTTCATTATATTTCAACAAACAGACTCAAGGGTCTCTGAAACGTATATATCTGTCGAAAACCTCATATCGGAAATTTGACCCGATCGCAATACTTTCCTTACATATTATAGGTAGGAAAGTAACAACAGCGATAGGCATTCTAAAACTTTCTTTTAGGAACTTTGTTCATACAGTTTGACAACTGTAACAATAGGGGTCATTGTTCTTCAATCTAGAAAAAACTGAAATCTTTAAATCAACAGGCTTATTATTTAAATTTAAAGACCAACCTGTCCATCACTGTGCCCTCTTTCCATAACTGGTGCGTTTCCCCTAGTTCATTTTTATTGTATTTGAGATAGTAGCATGGTTATCGGTTACAATAGAGTCTGGTCTCTCTACTATACTACTGTTATAGAATATTATATGAATGGCATTAAATTACTTTTTATTATAATATTGTGTTGTATTAATTAAATTTATTTAATTTCCTTTTCAGGGCTGGTTGTCGGACCTTTAATAAAGAAATATACTTACAGAAAAGTAGCTATTTTGGGAGGAGCGATAAGTACCGCTGCCATCCTTCTGACTGCCCCCGCAAACAGTATGCTGCACATCCTAATTACCTTTGGAGTTCTCGGAGGTAATAATGATCAAAGTCTTTGCTAATCTTTTTGTCTACACATTTCCATACAAGCCAATGATATACTCATATTCAGTATGAATTAATTTCGTGAATCATGGAGGAAAACTGGCTGTTACTAAATAAACCTGTTATAAGGAAGAATTTTTATAACCCAAACTTATTTGAAATTTAAAAACAGCATTGAAAACGAAAAGAAGTTTAATAATGTTTTCAATGTATTATAATTAGATTGAAGTGATCATCATATTCTCCTTTTAAGTTGTGTCTATAATTTTCATCTCTATAATTGTAATTATGATATAATACAAAATTTCATGTTTCTCAATTGACATTCATTGAGTACATATAATGAGTTTAATATATATATATATATGAGGGTGTGTGTGTGTTTACAAACAAATTTGATTCAATCAAAAACCTTCCTATCAATGACAGCTAATGAATGAAAGTGTAATGAATGTTGTGGAGGGAGATTTAAAAGTTTCTTTGCACAGATTTCTATAGATTATTTAGTGTAGTGGTAGAAAATAAAATTATGTAGAAAAAAAAGGTAAGCATAAGGAATATAATATTAAAAATGTTCTAGGTATTGGATTCGGCCTTGCTACTGCTTGCACCCTGGTAGGCATCAATGATTACTTCTCCAAAAAGAAGGGACAGGCGGTTGGTCTTTCAATGACTGGAACTGCTGTAGGGTTTATGCTGATGCCTCAGATAGTCAGGTGAACATCATTCTTATATTATAAAACTTTATGTTAAATATACAACAATGGGGCGATCCCCCATTTTTCCCTCTATGTTTAGAGGTATCGCAGTAAAATTACAAATCCCTTTTCTTTCTCTCTAATCAGTAAAATATTACTGTAGAAATTCAACGTGTCCCTTGTAGGCTCCCGGTTTCTATTTTACTGTTTGTTTTTTTAACGACGAAGTACGACAATGCGGTTCCGAAGTAGGTGCACCTTTACGAAATCAGCTTAAGAAGAAATAAACCTTGAAATATAGATGATCTATTAGTATGGCTCTAATAGAACACAAAAAGCTTTCAGCGAATTTCCGTAATAGGATAAAAGTAGTTCGCTATATTCAGGCAAAAAAGGGTTCGTATGTGGCGGGGTGTATAATGATTAAAAGAATGTTGCCTCACAATATATTAACTATCAACAAGATTTATTTTAAAGTCTGGTTGTGGCTTGGGTGGTCACTTAAGTATCGCGATAAAAAGTTAATTGAAAATCTCCTTTTTACAATAAAGTTGTTTATGTTTTCAATAATTTTTTATTGTTAATCATTTTTTTTTGCATTCTCATTATTTCCCATATTTCTTATTAAGACAAATTGTTCTAATGAATTATGAAATTTTTCTTATTTTATTTTAATGTTATTTTAACTTCACCATTAGATTACGAATTTGAAAATTCAGGCAAGTACGTGTATTTAATTTTTCCAAATTATAGAACGATTGTCATAAAAACCGTTCAAAAATGTTGGTATAATCGTAGACTTTAGACCCAACCCTAGTCCAACTTTGATATTTTTCTACCCCACGAATTTGGCTCAATGAATGAGCTACTATAATAATCCCATTTTTAACTGACATTCCTTATTATTATTGATTGTCATTATTACTATTATTATATCTTTATTTTTCACATATACAATGGTGTTTACAATATGTAATAGTTGAGGACCTATTAACTTCCTGACTATACTTGCTGCTACCAACAACACCGCTTGTTGCATTCTTTAGATCGTCCGACATGTTAGGTCTAGTTGTCGCAGAGAAGAAAAGAGTTTCCTTCGGTATCAGTCTGTTGTATGAGATCACAATTGGCAAAATTTGGGTTACCTTTGAATCATACAATCGTTTTATCTCTTCAGCTAATTCTACGTACTTTCTCTTTTTTTTTCTGCTACTATCTTGAGTAGGTTATCATCAGAAGGAATCTCTATGATAAATGCAGATTGCTTACATTTATCTATTATAAGAATGTCAAGCATATCGTGAGGGATGCTGTGATCTGTCAGGATCGGTTGATCCCAGAACATCTTGATATTGCGCATGGAGATGATTGGTTCTGGGTGATATTTATAATACGGACAATATTTATCCACGAGTTCCATTTTCTGAGCCATAGCTTGATGCACTACCTTAGCTGCATTGTTGTGTCTCTGCAAGTATTCCTTACCCGCAAGTATTGTCACATTCCGATGTTACATGGTGAATTGATTCAACTGCCTTTTTGCATAACCGACATAAGCCTTTTTTATTATTATTATTATATATCTTATTATCATTATATCATTATCATTATTATTATTGATCATCCAAGATAAGGTTCAAAACAATTAACGAAAATTCATCTCTAAAATAAAATCTTGGTTACCCAGTCAACATACTTCAAATAATAACCCTTATTTATAATTATAAAGGTGGATATCACACGAAAGTCACCCTCGTGATAGAAGTGAGATCGTGATGGCCGAACGTGCTAAAACGTAAAGTTTATCATTATTCCAGTCCACCGATGCCGGCCGAATCTGCCCTGAAGTGAGATTGTGACGACCGGCTATTAAAACGTCAATTTTACCATTCTCCAGTCTACCAACTCCTGTCGAAACCGGCCTGGGCAGGTTAAAATTAATTTCGTGCAGGACCTATGGGATGAATTTCAACATTCCCACTCTGGTTAGAATAGGTCTAGAACAGGGCTCTGAAACAACCTCCCTTTTTCCCGTATGCCGTGAATGTTGAGATAGGATATAATGGAAAGAAAAAAAGTTCTCATAATAGACCCTGATGATGAACATATTGTTGGGGTAATAACGTTTTCAATAAAGTGTAAAGATGGTTAAATATGGTGCTACCAAAAGATCCTCATGTTACATGACGTAAAATAAATAAATGTAGTGAACTGTCGTCGGAGGTGTTTGGATGGGCTTAATTTTTTTTAATGGGACTCATTTTTACGGTATTTTAAATGTTTGAGGAAGGCAAATTTTGACGGGGTTATGAATTTTCTGAATGAACTATTTTTTGATTGGGAGATTGTCATGCGCCATCGACCTTAGTTATTGATTATATATATATATATATATATATATATATATATATATATATATATATATATATATATATATTTATTAATCAGTTCTTTATTTTTTAGGTACTTGCTGGATGAATATGATTTTCGTTCTGCACTTCTTATAATAGGCGCACTATCTCTTCATGCTGTGGTGGGCGCTTTTCTGTTTCAACCTGTTTCTTGGCACAAGAAAGCAGTAATGATTGTAAGTTTTCATCAACCACCAAAATTTATGCGGTTCCCAATTTTTATTTGATTTGTTCCATTTGTCATCTTTATTAACCCCATACAATTTTATTTCAATATCTTAAATACGTTTTGGAAACCTTTATTTTCGAAAATGTATAAAATTTATGTAGCGAACTGTTGCTTTACTAACACTGTATATTTTTTCTAACTTTGGCAATCTTCATCATTTCACAATGTTTTTTTTTTTTACATAAATATTTGGATTAATCTACAGAAAAAATTGAATAAAGTATTTGACAAAATATCTATCAAAAGCTGGAGTCATTCTCAGCTAATAAAATTTATAATAACCATTTATGGTTTATAAATATACTGATATTTTTATTTATATTCAATTTCAATAAAATTATAACAATTTGAAATATATTTTTTTTTACTCTTTATAATTGATACTAGGAAGTTGAAGAAGAAGCTAACACCCTCTTGCCACCTGAGAAAAAGAGTAGGTCAGGATCAATAGAAACCACAAGTAAGGCTTATTAATCTTTAAAAAGACACAGCCATTTAACCAATTAATCTAGTTAAAGTTTTAAAGTGGTCTTGTTATATTCTAGGAATTTTTTCTGTACTTATTTATCATTTTATATAAACAGTACTAAATCATTTAAGAAATTCGCAATAAGTTATCATTATTTATACCAATTACTTTTTCAGATGGAGTAAGGCATAATTTGAGCAGTCCAAATTTAGAAGGAAGAAAGAATTTGCTTAATATTCCATCTTCAGCTTTTTCAAGAAAGGAATCTTTAATTTCAAATGTTTCGCTCTTAGATGATGCTGGAAATACACTTCACATACAAGTTTGTACTTATCGAACCTTAATATTCATTATAAATTATAGCGACAGAAATAATCAAGTTATTATACTTATACTTTTTCAAATACTAATCTAAGATTAATATTACCAGCAGGGAATCACTGAGGAAGAATCTGACAAAGAATTGGAAAAAATAACTGTTAATTCCTATGTTGAAGAAACCAGCATAAAAAATAATCTGAAGGATAAATCAAAAAATACGATTACGAAATCAGTAAAAAATCATTTGTCAAGGTTTTCTAAATTTATGGATCTAGATCTCCTAACAGACGGTGTGAGTTTTATACTATTGATTAAAGCTTTTATTTCATAATTTGTACTTAAAAAATATATTTTTATTGTGATGATAATTTAAATTTAAAAATAAATTTTATTTTATTTGTTTATAAAGGTATACTTGAACATCCTTTATGGGCTGTCAATGTGCATTGTGGCTGAAATGAATTTCAAATTAATTGTACCTTTCTTTTTATCGAATCTTGGCTTCACCCATTCTGAAATTGCATTTGCATTGTCGTCAATGGCTGTGTCAGACATATGTGCTCGAATAGTTGTACCTCCAATAATGGATAGGATAACATTCTCCAGGCGGGCCACCTTCATATTTGGCTCTATTTCAGTAGCATTAGGCCGGTCATGTAAGTATTTATTAATTAATAATTAATTTCAAATTTACAAATAAGACATTAAAATTCTTACAAAGACATGTGAAAAAAATAGAATCTGGAGGCCAGCTTCTGCGGTTTAGGTGTTAGAATATTTAGAATGAACTAAAGTTAAAGTATATTTGAGAAGGATTATTAAGAAAACTAAGGTCCTAAATGATGGAATGTAGTTCAAATCACGGGCGGGAGGAACTTTTAGGCTTAAGCCTCTCCCCCAGAATGGTAAAATATAACCATGTTTTATCGAAAAAAATATAAAAAAGTATCTCTTAAAGTATTATTGCTCGTGTAATTACATTTAAAAGGGCTTTAGGAATCACTTAAAAACCATTTCATACAGGTAGTTAGTTTCATTCTTTTTTTCCAAAGTAATTATCGTTATTTTTAAGAAAAAAAAAACTTCCGGGCTGAAGCCCCTCCCTAAGAATTAAATCCTGGATCAGCTAGTGGTTCAAATGGAAGAAATACTTATATGCTTGGACATACACAAATGCACTCACCCACCCACACATACATATTTCCATTATTCTGATACTGATAATGGTGGGTAGCACTTGTTACAAAAGTGGAACTATTGGTTATTTTTGGCAAATCTCAAAGGCTTTCTATAAGTTGCCACCTGCCCTTATAAGAGTTTGAATACCCAATCATTTTGTTGGACATTACAAAATTAATAAAATCAAATCAGGTGAACATTGATCGTACACCATTCTAGAATTGGCATACTTTATATGGAGAAAAAGCGTACTATTCCAGTAATTATATTTTACTGCATCCTATACTCACCTTTTATTTTCCCATACTTAAATTTTATTGTATAAGAAATAATTATTAACTGTTTTCATTGCTAAAGTATATTTTCAAAATTTACTAAATGGGAAGCACCTGTACTTAATAGATACAATTATTCTATAAGTGGCAGGATAAAGCAAAAAGGTGAGAGGGGAGGTAGACTAATGACCTGTCTTGAAATCTCAAAACCTTATGATTTTAGCATTTAATATGAAAAGTTTTAGGTAGGTAGCACTCAGATTGAAAGGCGAGAGACAATCAAGAGAAAAAATAGTATTTTTCATGTTCCCACATTATAGGTTGCTGTCATCACTAGTTAGGACTTAAAAAGAAAGAGAAAAGACACAACTTGTTTTTGAGGCATTTTAAAAGCTATCAGTGACAAGTATACAAACTATAAGTTCATACAACTAGACTATTATGTGCTATTTGGAAGTAGATACTAGTACTACTACTGCTACTGGAATGCGGAATTAGTTTGGCAAATCGATCTTGTAGTCCTTTTTTAAATTTTCAACCCCTGACTGCTACCTCAAGGTTCCTACCACCTCCTAACCATAGTGAGAACCTAAGATTCATTTCCTAGGCCCACTGAGAAATAAATTTTATCTGACCCAGGTGGGAATTGAAATCGCAATGTACAGAAACAGACACATTGGAACCCATCTTGCAAGGTCATCATGTATGGTTGAAGGTCGACGATAAAGAGTTTGATTCGTTAACCTCTTTACCTTAAATTTTCAGCCTTAAGATATCAGTTGCCTCTAAATCCCTGAGATGCTCTATCAAATGCCACATTCTTGAAGTCGGTAATGAGATTGATCTTAAATGCAACTTAACGGACTGCAATTTACATAAAAGTTTTATGCTCAGTAGGATATAATATGGCTTTTATGGCTTCTTGTGGATATAATAAGCATACCCACTCACATAGTAAGTAGGCCCAGGATGACTATATCATCAAAATGCTTCTTAGAATCCTGGGTATACCATACTAGATCTATGGGCAATTAGAATCCACTGTAAGCGATTGCAACATAAAAATGTTCAAGCAACATAAGACAATATTTTTTTCGAAGGAATATATAGACATTCCAAAACAATAAGAACAAGGCCTATAGAAGGAAAACATGCAACACAAACAGTTGTCTAATTTAATGTATTAATCCTTTAAGTCACGTAATTCTGGTTATGTGCAGTCCAAGCAAAATTTATCAACCATTGGCGTACTTTATATTTAAAATACAGAAATCAACAATCTATTGATTGGTATGATTTGTTTATAAAATATACTTTAAAAATATTTTTGCATTGTTTTTTTTTATTGTATTAGTGCTATTCAAGTTACTTAAAATACTGAGTTGCATTTTCCACTCAATTCACTGATTTAAAACTTTTTAAAGATATCTGACTCACTTGGCAATCCCATTTCATAATTTTATATTTTAATAATATTTAGTTAACAATGATATAGAATATGAAAATTTGTTTAGGATAAAAATTGTATAATGTATACTTATTTTATTTATCATAAATTAAGTTTTTAATTTTTATTCGTTATATTTTAAAAGAGCTCTGGGACACTGCAAAAACTTCTAACAGCTTTAAAATTCAAACTTTTCAATCAAAAGTTTTGAGAAAAATAGCAGTCACTCTTTTTTTTTTTTCTTATTCTTCCCTACCTTGCCTTTTATGCTATACAGGATCTTCCTGGGCTGGAGGGTGAGGGTGGGGAATTTAAAATTCCCTCCGGCACTGGGACGAGAACTCATACGTTTTTTTTTTTAATGTCATAACTTCGGTTATTTGGTTGCCGGGCAATTCGGGGTGCTGTGCACACCTGTTAGCCCATTCGGCCACCCCACCCTCTTAACAGAGTCACCTTTCTATGTGACAAACGATTTACTAAACAAAAACCTGGAGATCCAAACAATTTCAGATACTGCAACACAACACTATAAAAACTTCCCCTACATACTGACTTACAACACGAAATCATTAGCCCAACTTATTTCCTCTAAGAACCCATACATTCCAACCTGACGACTTTGAGGCAGTGGCCAAAAGATTTTCTTAACATTTAATATGCTCTACAAATCTTCTAATATAAACTGATTTGCTTCTTACAAAAACTTTGCAGTGGACCTGCCTAATGTATATACTTGTTTAAATAAATAAATAAATATTTTAAAATAATTTAATAGTATCTGCTTCATTTATTGATAATTTAGAGTTCACGATAGTAAATATGATTTTTTTTGTTTTTTTTAAGGTTTAGCTTTGCAGACAACTATTGGACCAATCATAACTATATTAGTCATAATTGGTTTCTTCCGTGGAATATCTCTTACATCATTTCCACTTGTTTTGACAGAATATTCATCTGGCAATAATTTTCCTTCTGTTCTTGGTTTGTCGATGGTTAGTAGAGGGATTTTCATAGCAATCTTTGGACCTCTTTCTGGTGAGCAAATAATATTTATATTATGTATGTTTTCTTATTTACTATTTAATTCACAGCTCTCCAATGACAATGATAATGAACAAGGGGAAGTTGAAGTATTACAAGAACAAGGAGTGAAATTGAGGGAAAACATTGATGGAATTCAGCAGTTCTTCATCAGTTGAATAATAGATGCAGACTTTGTGGGCTGGGAGGGGGGAGGAGGAGGGCAAGGGGAATGATAGGAAAAAAACCTTTACATTGGAAGACCTTCTCTCAAGTCCCTTTCTCTCTCTTAGGCTTGTTTTATTCAATCTACAAATATTTTCATCTGACTTTCCTCTCCTCCATTTTCAGCTTCTACCATTGGTCGAAGTTTTGTTTGGGAAGAGACCAGACCACTCCTTCTATTTCTCTTATTTAGTCAAATCCAGGCAAGTGAAACCTCCTTCTTTTGATCTTTGAAATAGTTCAAGTTTATATTTATTACTATAAAACTATTTTTGAGCATCAGTCCCCAGCAGATAAGGACAAGTATCCATACCCTGTTCCAGGTTATCAACAATATTCTTTGTTGGCAATCTTGAAATTGTTTGTATAGGCTGATTTTATTAATATTTAATTCATAAAATGTATTTCAATTCACTTATCATTACTCTCCATACACAGCAGGAAGAAGTTGATTATCATTTTATTGGGTATCTACTTAAAGGGTTACATCTCATTTCAACATTTATTTCAATTATGTTGGAAGAGTTGATTCTAATGATTATTTTAATTGTGATTTAATTGCTTTAGACCAATCTTGTGCTACTGAAGGACACCTAGGGAAGAGTTCATTTAATTGATATTTTAATTTATTTTTCTAATTGAGATTCATACCGTTGATGTCAGACACATTTTTGTATTTGTTAAAAAGATTTGAGTTAAGGAAGTTAATATCTTTTAATATTTTTGTTATTGGTACTAAATAACTAAATTAAATAAATAATATTTTATAGGGGTAAATGCTAAGTGAAAAAAATTATTGTCCAGTTTCAATAAAATAATGAAACAAATATAGAAAATAACATGTGATAATGGCTTATAAGAATTTTTTTTTTTTCAGGATATATAAGAGACGTAACTAATAGCTATCCTTTGTTTATTCACTCCCAGACTATTCTAATAACTTCGGTATTAATTGCTTGGATTATAGAAATAATCATCTTAAAGTCTAAAAACAATAAGCAGGCAGTGCCACATGATTTACAGAAAGAAGCTGGAGATAAAGTTACAGTGACAAAAGCGTGATGGGCTAAACACGCTTGGCTCTCAAAGTTCAAAGTTTCTCAACGTCAGTATTCATCAGCATCCTATTCATGCTGGATAATACTATATGTATTAATTACATAAAATACAAATTGAGTCTTTGAATCAAATGTGTTGCAACTAGCAAGGGACGTAAATAAAGAAATATGATCTGAACTGGGTTTCAATAAACTTAGTAACCACAAACATGGGTTAAATTATTGTGAATTTTATTAATATGAATAATAAAAAAAGTCTGTAGCAATATGCAAGGCATTTATGTTTAATAATGTAATAATTATTTATGTACAAAAATTTAATATACATAAATGTTAGACATATGTTTCAACACAAATGGTGTATACTCTGTAAATTATTGTATAATGAATATTCCCTGTTAAAATTTGTACTTAACTCTTCTTAATCATAAAAAATATCTCTGACACTGAGAAATGTTAACATTATTTATCATAATTTCATTTTTAACATTATATGGTATTTACGATAACATATAAAATATATTGGAAACTCAAATATTTAAACTTTTTTTAATTTAACAAGATATTTTAATGTTTCTCAAAAATTATAAACCAGGAAGTTTCTTGCTCCTTATTAGTGGGCAAGATATGTATGAAGTTTATACTCGTTTAATTATAAATTTAATCAAGATTGATTGATCTTGATTAATATCTTTATTTTATTCTTTTTTAAAATAAAAATTATTTTTTAATACTGTTATTTTATTCACACCTGTGTCAATTGATACAAACTTCAAATATACTAGCACAAGGTGAACAAAATCTTGTGCGAAAGGCATTAAATTGATAAATAATAGTAATAATAAAAATAATTAAATGATTCTTTATTAAAAAACTTGATTGAATGATGAGAAATACTGCTAGGAGAGAGAAAAAGAGAAAGAAAGGTGGATACAAAAGGAGGAAAAAGAAATCAAAATAAGAAGTTTCACAATAAATATCGAACACATCCTGCTAGAGAATTTCAGAATCCTGTTATGTTGGCAAAAAAATACGTTTTTTTTTTTTCAACTTGACTATCAGATTTCTTACTTCCTAATTCATCAAGATTTTAGCAAATCACTTAATCATACTAATTTCTTTGATAACCAGCTGAACCGGGCAGCCTTAAATGTGTTAATATAAATAAATTTATTTCTTAAATTAAAATAATTCAAAATTTTTTATTAAAAAATAATATGTATATAGTTCTGATATCAAACTATGAGCCCTGGACTCTAACAAGCAACCTAAAAAGAAAAAGTGGAAGATTTTAGAAGAAACTCTGCTGCATGAAAATCATAGTGATCTGGGAACAGAGTACTAATGCAAAGTGGGTAAGGACTAATAAAGATCTGGTTAAAGAAACTGGTGAGTTTATATCTAATGATATGAAGACAAAGAGATTAAAATAGGCAGGATATGTAGCTTGTTGTAATTCATTAGGAATCTTTTCACAACCATAGTAATTGGCAAGAAACCAAGAGGCAAAAAAACAGATGAATAGATATAATCAAACAAGAATTTGCAAGGATAACTACATGAAGCAGTAATCCAAGCTAGGTGAAAAAGAAGGCTCTATGGGGGAGACGAAAGTCTACTAGGCACATGCGGATCTACTGGTGGGGGGATGTGTGACCTTTCGAGCTGAAGCTTCCTCCAAGTGGTAAAATATAACTATGTTTTATGGAAAAAATATTTTAAAATTATCTCTTAAAGTATCATTTTTCGTGTGATTACATTTCACAGGACTTCAGGAATCACTTAACCACCATATGCAGTTAGAATGTTTCTTTTTTCAAATTAATTATCGTTATATTTGCGAAAAAAAAAGTTTTCGGGCTGAGGCCCCCAAAATTAAGTGCTGGATCCATTAGTACTACAAGGTCTGTAAAAACAATAAGGAGAAATATTATAAGCAAATTTATATGTTTGGAAGATATAGCAAATGTGATCATTGCATGTTGGACCACATGGGTTAAGTTATCCAAGCCTTCTGCTGCTTATAAGATAATAAAAAAAATTACAAGCTCCTCCTTTCACAGAATTGTTTTTGAGTCTTTCATTATTTTCTGTTTTTTTTTTTTTTTTATGTCGTATTCTCTAAGGACTTGTTTGTACTCACAAACGGTTTATAATTTAATTATTTTTAAAACAATTTGTTTCACCTGACCATTATAAATGAGCTACCTATACAGGAAATAATCACAGGTAAGGCACGGGGAAGGAGAGTACCCAGTAACACCTCTTCCCCAGGCTTGATTCAATCACTTTGGTCGTCCAGCATCTTCTTACCCAGTGAGCAGAAATGGTCCAACGTAGGGAAATGGTTTTCACTTGTGTTTGGCCAACTACTATGACTATAGTCTCCTCTTCATATTAAGGGGTATGTCATTAGTAGCTATATCTCTATCGTATGTCCGTTTAGGTTAGGGTAAAACCGTTAGTGAAGGGTCGTTATGTGTTGGTCAACTGTTGGAAGAGTTTTATTAGTCATGTAGTAAGCTGCTTTTGTTAAGAGCCTTAATAATTTTAATTGGCAGGTTTGAAGTTTTCGTAGATGGTTATTTTTGATGATAGCGTATATCTGCGAAGAATATATCGATATGGGTTTAAGTAAGTGTATGTGTATGTATTCAGTTTCAATTTTAAAAATTTGTAAAAAAGTGAATAAAGTGTTTTGAGTCGTTTTTAAAGGTCTTCCGTTTCATTTTACATGCGGTCCCCATAATCATCCTTCTGCCGAAGATATATCAAAGATAAAGTATCATTAAATAGGTTTTAAAAAAATATATAATATTTATATAGTTAATTAAACATATATTGGGGAAACTAAATGATTATTCCATCTGTAGCAGAGTTCTTTGATTGTTGATGTAGACTGCGTACTTGTAGACTATTACAATGCCACTGCTGAAAAATCATATGCCGTTACTCACGACTGGCCAGAAGTTTTACCATTAAAATATTATTCTAAACATCTGTTGCGCAATACAAGGACAAATCTAATCTTTATAATTATTCGTTTCCCCTTTCATTATAAAAAAAAAGAATATAATTAGTGTGAAGAAGTGTACCTTTTCAAACATAAGTTTACTTTTTAATTTAAAAGCGAAGTAATTTAAATGATAGTATCAATACCAGCCAAGAATACTTTATTTGTTTTATTGGTATTGGGTCAAGTCATTTGAAATACATGTCCACTGTGACTTAAAAACTATGCCTAAACATTTTTTAAGGCTAACATTTTTTTTACCCCCACATTTAAGGATTAATGAAGTATTCTTTTAAATACACAGTTGGTGTTCCGTATATAGAGGGCAGGGGTGCCCACCCCTCCCAAGATCGATGGCGCAAGAATCTACCTCCCTTCTCTCCCAAGATATTTTATTGCTCGCTTTTCTTAATAACAGAGCTAAGAAAAGTAGAATTAGAAACATCTTAGATCATATACAGTTATAATACAGTCTGTTCCATGTTTTCCTCTTGTCACTTATCCTGAAACTTTTCATTTCGAATATTCATAATCCTGTTGAAAGATGGCCGTCTCAAAAAATAAAAAAAAAACCGTCATAATATGCTCCTTAATAAATTTTGATGGCGCATATAAAACCTCCTTCTGGGCAACTCTGGTAGAGGAAAATGTCTAAAGAGGTAATAGTAGACCTCAAGAGCAACAAAAAAGATCATATTAACTACGCGACGATTTTCCGCAGAAAAGTACAACAATAGCAAACAAGTATCCAGCAACATGTCATTCAGTGTTGCCTAGTGGAATTCCGCCTCAAGGAAATGTGATAGCCAGTACTCCGGGAGGACCCACTTGGCTTCCTAACGTGGTTGAACGGTGGGGAAAGTGCTTCCTCAAGGTAGTCCCATTCGGGCTTGTCACCCTCCGTCGATTGCACTCTTCAATTGAATCTTTCCGGATTATAGTTTTCCATGTTCTGGGTTTTTAATCAATTCTCTCTTTGAGATTTCCGGATAGACCTGCTGAACCTTCTTTCTTAAATGTGTACTTAAACATATCTTCTCGCAGGAGGAGTTCGAGAGGCACCCCTCTTATTAATAATTGCACTGCCTTATGAAACATACTCCTGTACGCTCTGGTGACTCGCAGCAGAGGTGTTCGCTGGATTGTCGCCAACTTGCTCTTTCCACGCAGGGGAGGTATATTTCACTATTTCTACAACCAAACCTTTAAAAATGATCATTGTTGCTGGGTATATGAGGCCACAGAAAGCACTCTCTACTCGACTAACGCCGTTCAGACATTGGGCCATACTATTTCGCAGATAGTCCAAGTGAGGGTTAATATTGAACCCTCTTTCGAATCTTGCACTAAGGTACTTGACCTCCTCACTTGGACGTATTCTTGTTCCTTGAATCATTGTATTGATTGGGTGTGCCCTGTCAGATTTCCCTTTGAGTAGAATTTCCTGGGTCTTTGAATTAGCCATAGTCAACTTCTTCCTCTCCAACCAAAAAAGAGAACCATCCTGTTCCGGCTCTGATTTTAGAGAACACCACTATGGCCAAGTCACCCACGTAGCCAGTGGCAGTGAATTGCTCCTCCTCTAGCAATCCCAGTTAATCGTCAAATATTAGCTTCGACAGGGCGGGGCCAAAGTTTCATAGGAATTACCACTAAACTTTACACACCTGCCCTGCATGTTACTAAGGCGTATATGTTGCTAGGAGATTCAAATTTTGCAACTGCTAGAGTACAAGTGACTGTCGACGGTGAAGGATATTATCGAAGAGAAACAAGATGACTGATCTCTCCACCATCAGTTCTATACGTTCACACACACTCTCAGCAGGGCATCAGCGATTCCCTTTTCTGAGCCTTTCCTTTCGAGTAGGCGTATTGCCGTGGATGACTTGTCCTACTAAAACCTAATGAAAGACTGGTCATAATGAGGTTCTCCACGAAAAGGCTCATCAAATGTACAAATTAGTCGACTGGCCTGAATGAGCGTTGTATTT